GAGGTGAGGCCATTTAACAAGGTGTGTTCAACGTGGCAGAAGAACAAAATCCCTCCTGTGATCTATTAATGACGAGCTGAGCGTTAGATATGACATTAGGCCACGAGGAAGGACAGACTGACGTGTCAGTACATGATTTCATCACCGGTTGCTGAGGAACATGTAGCTGAATTTCAACAAATATAAAACCTAGCTCTATTTCAAAACAGCTTACTGAGGTGTTTAGGGAACATCAGAAGCAAAACACTCACATAAATAATCTGTATTTCTTTCGTAATATTCTGTTTTTAAATCTTTCACCTCATATCAATCAGTGATGTAACAAAGCAGCACAATGGAAAGCTTCAACATTTACAATGAATAGACTGATTCTTTGAGTCTATGTAAGATTACCCAGGGCAATTTCATTCATTTGAGGATAGTAAGTCTCTGTGGCACAATAAACTGAAGCCTGACTCTTCGGATCATCTATAAGCCTCAAGGGAGCAACAAATACATCCTGTTGACACATTTCTATCAGTTTCTTCTTGTCCCACATGAATATGGTGAACTTATTTATTAAATAATATTCCATTTGACACAAACATCACCCTACAACAAACTTTCTCCACTCACAGAAAACCACACATCAACTCACCTTTGGCTGAAGCTGTGACAGAGGAGGCTGCACAAAGCAAGAACACAACTAGAGTTAACATTGTGTGTCCTTCTCTCTGTAGCGAGAAGAAGCAAAACCCGAGATTCAGCGGCTGAAGTGGAAGAAAAAGGCCAAAACAGAAAGGAAATGCAGGTCCGAGCTTCTCCTATTATGTTTTATCAGAGGGGAGAGCAGACTCCAAACTCCACGCTAAGTACTAAGTACGAGATAACCAGCAAATCATTAACCTGGAAGCACAGATTTGACAGGAACTTCTGCCATTGATAGATCCATCCAGGAGTTCCCTTTAAATACAGCGGGACAGCCTCTGCGTCTGCGCGTCACATAGCATGTGATCGATTAATCAATACGGATGGGATCATCCGATTTATTCTGTTGATCAAGGGACGAATGACAATCGCAGTCTGGATGTTAAATTTCATTGAGGCTTCATGCACTGACTAGTTTCTTGGTTGCATATTTGATGTAAACATAGCGTAAACATATCTAAATTAGCCAAAAATACCATTTATATTTACCAAGAGGTTGCAGAGAGACGTCCTCATGTTACACCTTTCACCTCAGTTCTCAAACAGTCGGTACTCTGTCGGTGTTGTTTCTTGGTTTGCAGGAAATGGGCAGTCCGTCAGTGAATTCAGCCCTCTGGCTCAAATAACAGCATATCAGTGGACCCAAACGTTTGAGAATGTGTGCATGAGGTCATACTGTGTGAAATGCTAAATATGGGATAATTTTCAACTAGAGAAATCAGTTTAAATCAGTGAAACGTTTTGAGTAAAATAAGGATATTTGACTTCTAATGTTAGAAATTATGTTCACAAAAATATTCATAGAGATAGATATTTTAGGATTAAACATTTTGAAGGACACAAATATGTAAAATATTTCCTAAAGTGCTCTGTCTTTTTTCATTTAACACAATATGTAAATGAACCCCAGTTAGGTAGGTAGTCCTTGTATGTTTAACATGTTGGCAGGATCAGTGTTAATGACATAATTCATCACTTTGATCAGCTGCAATACTACTTCACACTTATTGTCATGTTTTTATTTAGATTAAATTAAACCCCACTATACTGTGGAATTTGACATAAACCAACCCACCTTCCCTTAAGGTTGAACTATCTGTCCATTCAAACTTTAATAAATATCATAAACATCAAACAAATACATACAAAAACAGGTAGCAACAACACAAAACATGGCATACTCTTTATAAAGTGAGAAAAAGCCTTTCCGTACAGACACTAATGTTTAGTAATCGCAATCGAAACCTGAAATCAGATTTACCTTTTTTGTGTGTCTTTGGGGTCTCAACAACTCTCAATATGTATACATATATTAAACAGTGAGGGAGGAACATTATTTTATCACAACTATTTGATAGTTACTAAATGTAATGATGTGTCAAAGGAATGCAAACTTAGTTCTACTGAAGACGTTATATAATTTCTTGCATTAATGAATCTTCCTTCTAAAGTAATGGTAAATAATATACTTCATATACTATGTTGCTTAATGTGTTTATCATAGCTTCTGTATGTGACATGTACCGTAGCTCTCAGCTAACTTTAGTGGAGTAAGAAGTGCAATAATTGATTAGAAATATAGAAATACAAAGTTATCTAGTACTTGAGTAAAGCTTGTAAATGTTTCACCATCACTGAACTCTTTAAAGAAACAGATTGAATCAACACTGACTACAGTGAGTTTGACTAAGCAGCCAGTGGGTGTCAGTGTTTGTCTCCTGATGTTGATGGTTACTGTATAAAAGCTGAATCTGAATCCAGAGCACTACTAAAACATCATTAAAATGTCCTAACATGTTCGTGTCTTCATGTTGATATGATGTAATCCCCCCTGCTGCACTAAACATCATCTAAACTCTCCTTGATGATGCCTTCACTGTTCCTAAGCTAAATGTCTGGAACAATTAGGAGGCTGCTCTGCCAGTAGATGATAATTATGGATACCTTACCAATACCATCATGATGTATACCTTCACATACTCCCACGGCTGGATGGTTACTGAAGATACAGGAAGTACATGCACGCCTCCAGAACCCTGAGGCGGGCAAGGGAGATAGTGGCCGACCCCTCCCACCCTGGACACAAACTGTTCACCCCCCTCCCCTCTGGCAGGAGGCTGCGCTCCATCAGGACCAAAACCTCTCGCCACCTGAACAGTTTCTTCCCCTCCACTACCGGCCTCTTAAACAAGGCCCGGCCCCCCAACTGACACTTACCTCAGCCACAACGTAGTCCCTCTATGCATTACATTAATGCACACAATGTTCATACTGCTTACTGCACATATTTCTTGTTTCATATTTCATATTTTATATCCTATAATTCATTCATAGCATTCTATTTCCATGTAAATGACTGCTTTATTTTATTGCTATTTAACTATATTTTATTACGGTGTCCTTAAAGATTTTTAGTTTTGTGTTAGATTCCTTGTTTTATATTTTATGTCTGCACCATGACATTAAGTCAAATTCCTCGTATGTGTGAACCTACCTGGCAATAAACCTGTTTCTGATTCTGATTCAAAGCATATTTACAAAATCATACCAAGTATGTGAAAGGGAAATATTCATGTTTCCTCAGCGACTGTGCCAAAGTGCAAACAGATAAGCATCAGACACAAAGTACAATGAAAGGAGAAAATAGGGGGACAAGCTTGATTATGCATAAAACTAAGTAAAAGATTAAACTAGGGTACATATAGTAACTGTCTAGTATAAAACCTTTTTTTTAGTTGATCTGTAAATGTGTTTTAGGGGAAGGTTGATTTCATCAGAAAGCAAGAGTCTGCTGTTTTTCTCTGGTGAGTCTACAAAAGGGCCGGAAGTAACGAAGAGGCCTCTGGTCAAAGGTCACATATAGGTTTGCAATCAATCTCTGATAACACAGCAAACACATCTGCTTATCAAAGCTGACTCTCTAAATTGCAAATGATCAGGGTTGTGTTGTAAGATAAGTGTGTGTGTGTAACTTAGTATCATTTTTTTTTTTTTTCTGTAAATTAGCTTTATTTAAAAGGAAAACAGTAATGTGGATCAACGACTCCACCTCAGTCTAATCAACAAATGACAATTAGGAAACTAAAAACAGTCTGAGTAAACATACAAATCTGACAAAAAAAAAGCCACTGCCTTTCAAACCTCTTACATGAATGTACCATGTTTGCTTTTTCAATATTTGTCTTTAAAGTGATTGAGTTTTAAACCAACATTTCTGCTGTGATTTCAAAATGACAGTCTTCTTGAATGGATGTCTCGTTTAACACTTGAATATCTCGCTGATTGAGTTTGAGCATCTCCTTTCCTAAATAATGGAATACAATTATATATTTTGTGATAGTATTCTAAAGCTGGTCTCCAAGTGAGAATTTGATACTACAACCTCATATGGTTTTGACCTTTGTCCTTCCACTGGTTAATGAAGTGCTGTTCCTTTGATCAGTTTTTCTACCCGAGATACCCTTCTTAAAGATATAACAAAAGAATGCAGGAGAGGATTAATTAGCGTAACACAAGTCATCCTTTCCACCTCGTCCTCACATGCCCTGTTGATCCTTCTGGTTTCTGTGCCTGTCAAACTGGTTGAAAGATGAACAACAGGCCTTTTGGCGTGTCACAGTAAGAAAAGCACAGATGTAAGTATTACTGGTGGCTGAACTCCATTTAGCGGCTCCAGTTTCAGAGTCATGATGTGATGCAAGCAGGCTCACTGTCACTCTGATTTACTGGGACACAACAGATCCATTGTTATTGCTATTAGCAACAACTGTGCTCATTCTGAATCGCAAATTACAAGCTTAAATCTCCTATTTGCAAAAAAGTATACAGTGGTGGTGTCATTTCGTATCGACCGGTCATGCTTATTTTAAACACTTATTGAGTTCAGAATAAAATGTATGTTTCTTTTGTCATGTCAGCGTCCATCTCTTTAAGTTGGGTCGTTTCTTCTTAAAGCAATTTGATTGTTTATCAAGTGAAACACACACCAGGCCGTTACCGAATAATTATTTCAAATAATTAACCACTAATTACAGAAACCTTAAAAAAATTAAACTATTTTTTTTCCAGTGTAATGGTGCAATTAATTATTGTTTTGCTTTGACTTGAAGTAGCCTAACCAGGCTGGTGATATTCATCTCAAACAAAAGATAGAAAGTGGTATTGAGTTTATTTGTTTAGATGTTTTCCAATAACTGACATATGTACTTGTGAATAAGGTATACATGTGTGTCACTTGCTCTGAGATGAAGCTGAATTTATTATTTTAGTATACCTACTTTGGCCAACTTTATCTAAACACAGCAGACAAACAGTTTGCAAAGACCCACCATTTATTCAGATATATATTTACAACTTGTCACGATCCAATTATTTACAAGAATCAGGAGGACATGTAAAACAAAATGTATAATCAGGAGTATGTAGAAATCACAAATATGGCACTGAGTGGTAAGAAAAGTGTGATCAGTCAACAACAATCATATGAAGCTTTTAGTGGAAAAGGGGATATTTGACTCCAGCTGTATTACATTTATAAGATATCAGAATGCAGAAATGCATTTTTGGAAATATATTTTTGGTAAGGATGTTCAGTTCATCAAAGCTGCAGGAGATCTGACTGCAAAGTAAACGCTGAGTAACATACTGCAGGTTCCGCCTTTACATAAAATGGCTGCTTTGACTTTCTTGCTATGCAGTTCTATTAACATGTTTACACAAAATGATATGCCTCCATATTGTTAAGAAAGAGAAACATACAAGTTGTATTTCAGTCCAAAGTGTGCATTTAAAATAATGCTGGTGAAGCAGCATGTGTGCTGCTCTGCTTTCAAGTAATGTACAGTATGTATATAGGCTATAAATCATTTCTACGTTCAGTTGAGTCCCACCAAGCAGTTCCAGCATGCCATTAAAGATGAGCATTGGAAAAAGCTTGTATCCTAATTTTCCAGTGAAAACTTACGGATCAAAACATTTAACACAACAAAAGAGGGTATCTCATCAAATAGGCAGATTCCTTAAAGGAAACACATCGGCAACAACGTACAAAAAAAAAAGAGGGAATGGCTGAATGGACACTGACATTAAGGTAATGTGCAAGGAATGACATCACACTCAGAATATGCTGAAAAACTTTTCCTGTCAAACTGCTTATGGAACAAATATCCAACATTATGGAGCACCATGAAGTAACAGATGTAGTTTGCACGTTTTTAAGGAAAAGTGCCCCCTCCAGTGGCTACTGCTTGACTAACAGTCCGTCATGACAGAAGTCTCTCTTGAAGATTAAAATATGAAGATTAAAGTGCTTAAGGCTGAGTTTTGATTTGGATGTCACATCTTCTGCTTTCTGTCAGTATGTATTATTACTTTTCTATCTCAATGACAAAACTCTTAACAACTGCAACTTTGCAAAGCATACAATACCATTCATATCTCTTTGTGATAATACAAGCTACTGAACTACCTCAGCCCCAACAATACTCTGCTTACAAACTGTATTTATCTGTAGAATATGAGCATAATGTCACAGATAGAAATTAATTCAAAGTTAATTATCTGTCTCTTTAAGTATATTTCAATAAACATTCAACAAAGTGCTAACCAGCCGAGTCACTTCAAACTACTTACTATTTTACAATTATTTTTTTTTAAATACCTAACATTAATGTAATACATGTAGAAGAGCCATTGTCCTAACGGTAGACAATAGGCATGCAGTGCATTTCCAGAATCACTTTTATCTTTGTACACAACTATTACATGCAGTGTTAACACTGCTGCTGTGAGACATATAAAACCAAGGCCTTTTTCTGAGGGAAGCACCACCTCTGGTAACACATCAAAGCTGTTTGTCCTGTGTACAAGTAATGACCCTCCTCATTTTCAGAAAAATAAAATAATCTGAAGTGGGACTTTTCCTTTGAGCCACTTCACCACCAAAGCTGCTTATAATTGTGTAAAGCCTTTGCATTGCATTTGTTTAATCTTAACTGTATGAAAGCTACAATACATTTTAGAAGTTGTGCTTCATTCAAAAATGGGGCCACAAATAACTCTAAAAATAACTCTACATTTACTATTTACATGTGAACAGGACTCTTTGTTTGGGACACAGCTGATTAATGTAGTTCCCTTCGGTGCTGGCGTCCAAACAGAGTCCTGTAGAAGAAAAAAAAACATGGGAAAAATCAATTAAATCCATCAATACAAATATAAATATGTATATGCCGCAACATTAATGGTGAAAGCTAATAGTGCTTACCTGGCACATCCTTCTTGCCCTTTGTAGTTTCTGTGGAGGTCTTAGGTAAACAAACTGCACAAAACAAGAGGAAGATGTATGAACCGATGCATTAAATGAAGACATTATGCATATATTACGTAACAAGACATGCACACGTCTCAGTGAGGACGTGCAAAGGGAGGGAACAGCACCTGGCACAAGCTGCTTACATGCATGGAGTCTAACGAAGGCCACAAGAAACACATCCATCCCACTATTATTTCTTTATTAATACTACAAGTGTTGCTGGTAATTAACCCTTAAGGCTGTAGTTGGGCACAGTGACTTTGGTAATGTAATACTATGTTCACCATCTTAGTCTAGCATGTTAGCTAACATCTGCTAATAAGCAGAGTACAGTTGAAGATGGTGGGAATGTCATTAGTTGGAAGGATTGTACTCAAAAGCACAAATGCCAACCTCATGGTGGCGCTATTGGAAACTTCAGAGGCTCACCAAAGTTAGATGAATCCCTTAGGAGCCATGAAAGCCAATTGTGCTAATCCAACCAACAGATGTTAGGGTATTTTACAGGACAAATGATCATTTTGACTTGATGATGCTAGAGGAAGGGTTAATCAAAGTAATTAAATGCACACTAAGGATAATATGAATGTTGATACTAAAAGACTGTACAATATTTAAAGTTGTGGAGATATGTCGCGGAGGTGATCTCTGTACCCATAGATCTCGGCCTCCGTTACGGGTTGTATAGCTTCATTGTTGTTGATTGTGTTCACCTGGTGCCCGTGTGTTGTCTCCCCCCCCCGCCCACCTGTGTCTTATTGGCCTGATTAGTGTGTGTGTATTTAGGCTCTGTTTTCCCTGTCAGTGGACTGGTAGTGTGTGGGAGATCCTTGTGGCTGGTGACTGTGTTCACATGAGACGATTGAGGCTGTGTCATGTACCACAAGGAGTAATAAATGCCCACACCGGGTTTTATTTGGACGTTCTGCCTCTGCCTCCTTGCTTGGTCGGGCCGCTCAACGGTCAGTCTCACAGGAGATATGTCATGTCTTGTACATTTATGCAGCTAAACATTTGTATTTATTCATTTCATATCAATATCAATAACTCCTGAGAGTGATGTTGTGCCTAAATGAACAAAATGTTGCCACCTACCAACTTTCTCTCACAGCTTCAATGTCGCTCACGAGATTCTGTGCTAAACAGATGCCAAAAATCTGAAAGAAAGATCAACAGTTTTCATTAGGTTAGTTAAAAGTCGACAGCGATGAGATATTAAACTAAACCGTTTGCATTGTTCCTCACCTGTAGTAATGCAATTCCAATGAAGATGCCTGCCACCACTGTCAGGTTCTCTTGAAGCCACTTTTCAAACTGAGGAACGCATCCTTTTATATAGATGAAGGTCCGCTGCTCAGAGTCCTGACAAAACATAAAAACATGTGTTACAGCCTGACAATCACCAGCATATGAAAGAGGTAGTTTCTACTTTGTTTATTCTTTTCAAAGTCCTAATACCTAATACTACTGGCGGCGATGAGGTGGGGATTTACTTAGCTGTGTAGCACTTGACAGCATAGTTATTTTTAATGGTAGCACATGATTCTCCTTTTCATCTTGTGGTCTCCTTCACAATAAAATCCCTCTGCACTAATGTTTCCTGGTTGTTAACACACTTTGCTCACAGTTGTTCTACTCTGACTGTTGTAAAACACTACTCGACTCTGGCTTCTAGTCAGATGTATAACCAAAAAAACAAACACAGGCTTTTCCCTATGTTATGCCTCTATGGAGAAAGAACATGGCTAATGATGGGGGAGGGGGGTCAAATCCCAGTGCATTGCTGCATCATGAGTAATACCATACGGCCCAAAGTGCTGATGGGGAGCCAGCTGCTGCGTTTTGAAGACTGTGGAGTAGTGAAACATACTGAAAGAGGAACATTGTGCCGAGGGTGGAGTACCTGATGACCTCATGCAGCCAAATAGAGGCTGAAAAAGCCAGAGAAATGTCTACTCTTCTTACTTTTGGGCGAGGCTCTCAATCTCTGTTATAAAGGAACGTTTCTGTTAAGCCACTCACCGGTTTGGCTCGTATGTCGTAGCCACACTGAGTGTTGATTACATCCTCCTGTGAAGAGAAGACAGTTGATGCTTGTACTTTTTTCGAAAGGTGAAGTCAAAAAACTTCAAATCCTATACTTGAAAGATGTTAAAACAGTAATGCTGCTTCTTTTCATTTAGAAATGTTTCACTTCCGAGGCTATGTGGAATACACCTGTGAAAACCTGCAAAGTCTTAAACGAGAGACTCAAAACTTGGATAAGAGTCAGATTTAGGTCACAAAATTGGGACTTTAGACTTCAGTGCTGTGATTCATTGTTGACCTGGTAAAATCCTGAAACATTTAAACAGAGAGCGACAGGCCAGCCTTGAATTGTCACGCAGAATGAATATTTAATTATTAAGCATATGCATGGAAGACATTACTTACACAACAGTGAAAGGAACATTTGGTGTTATGTTTATCTTTCCATTAGTCATCAAATCCCACGGAAAGCACAAAAAAAGCCTGATTAGCCAAAGCCTGATTTAGTATGTACTTCTCTGTGCCAGAAAGCTTAACTTTCTCTTCATCCTAATGCGCTGTGTGCCCTAAAGATACAAGACTTGGTCTTTAAATGCTGTATCATTTTCAAGGTCAGTAATCGGGGCCTTGTAGTCTTGTTAGAAAGACTTAAAAACATCTCTGATTGAACTTTAAAGTCCTATTCATGCTAATCTTTGTGTTGCTCTCAAAGAGGATGACCTTTATGGGACAGCGTGTGCTTTGGTCAGCATTTAAAAAAGACTCTTGTGCAACTTTCATTACTGTGAAGTACGCCTGTTCTGATAAAGCATGGACACTGTTGCAGTTCAAGCATTTTTCTGCCAAAAAAAAGTCTTGGTCAACGCAACTCCTCCTAGACGCTTTTCAACTTTGCTGTGCTGGCAGAGTCTGAGAGGAGTCAACCCTGAGGCCTCGACGTCCTGTTGGCCGGCAGCCATGATAGTTGACAGCGCCAGCCTGCCTTCTGGAGGGCGCAGATAACAAGGCTATGAGCTACAGGGAGGATCCTCAAAATTGTCCCTCTATCTAACGATTCAACATGTTAAAAAAGTGACTTACTCAATTTGTACTCCACACAAAAACACCAAATTACACCCATAGGCATGTTGTGTAATGCAGTAAATGGGGATAATTTGGCTGTGGATGAGAAAGACTGAAGTGTAGTGAGTTTTTGTGGCGACATACCGCAGGATCTTTGGTGCAGCAGGAAAAGGGCACTCCACATTTCTCACGACTCGGGTTTGTATCAGTGCAGTTAAAGTAGATGTTCAAATTCCAGTCGTCAGCTCCAAAAGCTCCACAACACTCCCACTACAAGGTTAAACAAGCAAAAAGAAACACACATGAATTCCAACAGTGTCCCACAGAAATGTTAAAAACAACACTGGAGTGAAATCAGAACTGAAGATAAAGAAACATTGCTCACGTATTCCTGGGTGAAGTCTATCAAGTTCTGCAGATCAATGTCGTCTCTGTAAGCCCGAATGTTGTTGTTAATGAAAAAGTTGAGCTGGTCCTTGATCCAATCCTTGAAGACAAAGGCCAGGATTCCTGCAGTCAGCTCCAGGAAGAAGATGATGCCCAGGAACACAGAGAACTAAAAGATATTTAGCAATTATTATTATTATTATTATTATTATTATTAGATTCAGAGTGGAAAAAAAACGGTATTTCTTCACCACGTGTTTGATAAGGAAACGTACAAATTTAAGCAAGAAAGAGTTTTCTCGCAGTGCTCCGATGCAACCAGCGAATCCGAGGACGAACATCACACCACCCACCACCAAGAAGAGCCAGACGGGGTCAAAGCCCCCCAGGTCTGTGATGGAGGAGATGTTGGAGAGAACACCCTGGAAAAACAAAGTGAAGGGTTAGAGGCTTAGAGTCATAACAAGAGAAATCATTTAAAATCTGATTGGAGACCACTATCTCGATGAGCTTGGCATAAACACCCTCCCAAAGTCAGAACTTCGGTTTTAAGTTGGTCGAACTTTTGGATCAACCATATTTGTTTTGACTGTGGTGGATAATTGACAGTGCAGTGGTTCCTCTGATGCGTTGCAGATGTAAAGCATTTAGCGAGTGATGCGTATGATGTTATGGCAGAGGGGATTAGTCATTTGTGTACTACAGATCAAACAAATAGGATACCACATGTTAATTGGTGAGCTTTAATGATGTTGTTAGGTGGAGTTTATTCTTAGCGGCTGCTGTTTCCAGCTATATATTTATCATACAGATATGAGACGCCCCAATCTTATTTTTTGCAAGAATATTTCCCCAAATGTTCCGACTTAAACTGTTCAACCTTAGTATTTTCTGGATCCATCTTAGCACCTGTTTCGATGTATTGTTATTGCTTATTTTGTCTTCAGTTAGTTTTGTAACTTGGCTAGTGAGCCCTTTTTATTTTTGGATTAATTAGGCTATATCATCTCATTTTGGCAAAGCAGTTTCCTCTATCTTTTTTTCTCTCCCGGTTATTTAATATTTTGTTACTTCTTCTTCATTTTACCCTAGACTATTACCTAACAATCATTGTTGATTGAATCTTTTTGGGGTTTCTGACTGTTGGTCAGACAAAACAAGACATCTGAAGACAATCACCCTTTGCTTATAGGATGTGTAATAGAACTTACTTACTTAAATAATATCATTGTGTTATGTTTATTTATATTTACTATTTACTATATTTAAGAAGGTGTGTTGCAATGTTGTTAGTTACACTTTATGTGCACCAACAGTATGACCTTCAACTCAGGTGAACTGAGAAAATCCTGATATGGCCTCCCCACCTCCCTAACTTCCAGAATGATCCTTTCATTATCACCAAGCGTCACCCCTCCCTTTCTCCTCTCTCGGTGTTAAATATGCAACCCAAACTCTATCCTTCGTCTTTCACTCTGCAGACTGTATGCTCTCTGTATGACTGACTGAACTTTCTTACAAGAAATAAAATACAACAAAGACAGCTGAATGGTTTGATTCTCTGTCCACATTTGATAAATACATTTCCACCATAGATGTTATTTTGGTTCATTGTTGACCAAATAGTTAATGATATAATCTTTAAAGTTTGTCAGTGAAATTCCTTACGAATAAATCTTACTGGACTCTCTTTTCACTTTTTCCACCCCTCAGCTGAGAAACACAATGAATAAATCTGTAAAATGCATCAGATCTGTTCTTCTTTCCATTGTACAGAGGGGCGTCCCACCGGAAATCATGACATTCCTTTCAGATTCAGGAAAGCCACTGCTATTATATCGTTCAGCCAGACGGGTGAAAGCACAGGAGATGAATGTAAATGATCTGCTTAGTGCGTGTATCCATAAGTGAAAGGATTTACACAATGAATGAATTAAACGTATTGTTTCACAGGGAGATAAGCCGTTAAATCACCTTTTCGTTCCATGCCCACAGCCCAATGCCGAGGAATGCCAATCCAAGGAACTAACAGACGGAGAAAGAAGAGAGACAACGGAGCAAATTATTTTGCGCTGACTGCAACATGTAGTCATCACACAAGCACAGAAGGGAAACCACAGAGAGAGTTTCCTGGCAGTGATCCAATAACTTAATATTTCTTTTGACAGTCTGCAGGAGACTCCCACATTAGAAAGCTTCTTCCAGCAGCTTGAACGCATTACGACTGTACAAGTTTCCACCCTGAATTTAAGACTCCAAAACCACATTCCAGGAGTTACAAAGTCAGGAATCAAGGTCAACATTACAATTAATTTAAATGTATAACATTTGATAAAAACTATAGTTGATCTATTAAAAAACATAATTTATTAGTAATTTAAGTAATCTAATAATGGGGATTTGTTTTACATTTTAATATTTGTTCCAAATACTGGTCAGCAGATGACAGCAGCTTGTGATGGGCATTTGTCATTTTTCTTTACAATGTATAAACTGAATGGTTGGTCAATTAATTTAAAAAAACTGGAGATTGAGACCAAATCGAATAAACAGGAAAAGCCTCTGATGTTTTCCTGGGTAAATTGTTACATTTATTTGTGTAACGTATTTGATGGCTTTTGTTGATCCGAAAGTGTAGGATTGAAGAGACCAAAATATCTGCATAAAAGATTCACGATTAGGTTTACACTACAGTAAGTGTTTTTGTGTAGGATTGTAAGACTGGCGTATATCAACAGAAGGTGAGTGTTATTTGGTATAAAAATGCCAATTTCTAATAAGATTAATAAGAATTCAGACAAAGAATAAACTAGCCCCATTTAGCAAGACTACACTCCAGAAAGAAAAGCTGTGAATTTAACTCTACATTTTGCTATTGTTTAATCCGTTGCAGAGGAAGGATGAACAGATGCGTCTGACACTTCCTCTGATGATATATGTATGTTGAAGGGAGCAGAGGGGTCACTGCCTGCACACTGAGACCCTCCGTGGGGCCGACAGGTGGACTTCCTCTGAAGGGCCACACACATGTTGGCTCCACTTACGTCACTTCAAAAAGGGACAGATGATATGAGGATATATTTTGAGACATGTGAGTATGTGGACTCTGCAACTCTTTCTTTGAATTTTCCTGGACATACGTAAGAGTCAGTTGACATTTTTCCACAGAAACATTTTTCCAGTATTGTAAATCAATGAGCCTGACTGCTGTTTAGCAACATTGGATTTTATTTAAATCACATCCAGGTATTTAATCCGTTAACAAATATATTTCTAAATGTTCTTGAGAATAGACACTGATTTCAAATGTACAGATTGAATTAATCAATCAACAGAAAATTAGGCAACAATTGATAAAACATGTAAAGTAGTGCTTGGTTCAGCTTCTCAAATGTAAGGATTTTATCCTTAGCATTGTGTAACATCATTGTAATTTGAACATCTTTATGTTATTCACTGTTGGTAAGTCAAAAACAAGGAATTGGAAAATGTCCCTTTGGACTGCTTTCTGATGTGTAGACACAACAGATAATCAAGAAGAAAACTACCACTGACACTCATGTCGGATAAAGCACCATTTATATTAGTGTCTATTAATGCATAGCATCACTAAGCCATCTGCTCTTCCTAATAACTCCTTTAGAAGACATGTTTTAACCTGCTTTTACACAGTTAAACCGTATCAGACCTCCAACCAGGTTCTGTATTCAATTGGTAACTGGAGGCCTTAAGTGGGATCTCCAGAAGTCACAATGGGGTTACTTGTGGGATTCAAAGCCCTGAAGGTGTCTGTTTCTCCTGTGATTTCCCTCAGTACATGGTGATGATCAGAAAGGGATTTGCTCCGACCAAACATTACTGACACCACATTAAAAAGCGCTCAGATGTAAACAAGTGATCACTAGAGCTCCCTCACACTGATGATGTCTATACAACAACAAAAGCTGAAGGGTGACAGTGCAAGCAAGTGCACAGGAGCTGTGCGCCCATAATGCAGGGGATGAAATCATCCCCATCATAAAAAATGGAAAGAAAGAAAACCGCTCTCGCTGAATTAGAAACAAGGTTGCTGTTGACGGAGAACAAAAGCATGTCATGTTAGTGAGTATTAAACTGAGGATATCAGGCCTAATGTCCTGAACACAGCAAACAAGGGACTTACCCAGAATATGATGTTGAATCCGAAGATAAAATACTTAATGCAGCAGCTCACTTCATGAGCCTTGAAATGCTTTCCTGACATCATTTTGGATGTGTTTTTGTTATCTTAAACGCCGCCCGCAGTGAAAAGGGAATTACATATATGGTCCTCTTATGTTTGACAGCCTGGCTGTGGAAACACCTTTTGGTTTTAAGGCTCGACAAACGCGCCGTCAATTGTTTTTGCGTCTAATAATAAACATCCTACTGTATCTCCGCGGACAAAAGGCGCAGGAGAAGCCGCAGAGCTGCGTTGAATCTGCCGGTGGGATATCAGTAGAGATATCCGGTTATTTCCGATATGGATCTCCAAAGGTATAACGGTGAAATAAATCCCCTGATATCCACCAGATTAAAACCGACGGTCTTCTATTTGACCCATAATCTAGACATGGCTGTTTTTTGGTTGATTTGTGCGGGAACCAATGAGAGTCTTCAGTGATCACAGGAGGCGGGACTTCCTCCTGTGCGTCACTGCCCTCGTATGACCATGTAATATAGTCACCATTATATTATAAAACACTTTAAAGTATTATTTATTCATTGCCAAATCATTTGACATTTGATAAAAAATGCGAGAATATAGCATTAAACTTTTATTCCCTTTTTGTGTAAATATAAAAATAACTGTTGTATAATACTTAAAAACTAACACACTTTATAATAGGTGATTGCATTTTATTCAAGCAGTTTTTGTTCAATATGACCTTTATTTTAAATGTTTCACAATATAATTTTCCAGATTGTATGTCTTCATGCCACTGTTATTTACACATTCTTTGACTGTCAATCAGGAAGTAAGGGAACAGAGGGAATTTTTTAAGATATTGGCTTATTTCACAATTAATGTTTGTTTTTTCTCTGTGTAATAAATCATGTAATTTCAATATGGTATTTTTTATATCAAACACTTTAGATCGTCACGTAAGTCAGCATGACTGCACAACTTCTGCAATTTATTTAAAAAAAATATGCTTCACCATGATATAAACCCCAATAGAATTAAAGCAGAAGGGAATGTATTAGATTTACACATCTGCAAATATCTAGTTCAGATCAGGCTTTGTTAAAAGCTTGCACTATATGTTCCTTCCTAATCTCAGTACAACCTGCCCGATGACCTGAGGATTTTTAAATCTGTGTTCATGTCTACAAAAATTGGTAAAATCTCAGGTTTAAAATGACTTACAATGTATGGGTTTGTGAATATCTTTTTTCCTTATATATTTTGTTCTTGTATTTTATTTACCGTATTATTTTGTTCCTATATGTATTTTACTGGGAAGCACATTGAGTTTATTGGGACTTCAGTGTACTGCACAGTTATATATAATTGTTTGTGTGTGTGTATAACAAGAAGTATGTTAAAGAGACTTTTATATGTTACTGAAAAGGGTTTCATTTGTAAACTGTACGCACATAAATCTGTACATTTGTAAAAAAAAAATTGTTGAAAGACACAAGAACAGTAATGACCCGGTTTATGAATTAAATCACTTCAAGGATTGATTTATGTCATTTTCACATCCTAAAACTGAAAGCAGATGAAGGTTACCTGTGCTGAAAAAGCTGAGAAAAACAACATAAGGTAGGTGTGGAAAAACGTTGCCCCCTGGTGGGTTGTCTGAGTCATTTTGATTCTCCATGCAAAGATACCTCAGTTTACATGACAGAAAGAAGCAATAAATAATTAATGATGAACAATATTTTTAAATGCAAGCATTATTCCAACATGATATTGTATGTGGTTTGTGAAATAAACACCAGCAATCATTTTAAGTATTGGCTTGTTTTATTGCATAAAATAAGACAAAAGTACTAATGTTCTCCTGATTTATAACACATATTTGTTTACAAAACAGGATAAATTATGAAAATAAATATTTCTGTGCAGTTTGTCTATATTGTCAATGCAGGCGGAGAAAGAAATGAGATTTCTATACAAATGTAAGTCAATAAAAAAGACTTAACTCATTGTTTTGAGACCATTACCATACCTCATGCCAAGACAAATATCACGATGCAGAGGGCAGCGTTTGCCATCCTGTCCTGTTCACACAAACTTTTTCAGAGGGATTCATACAAATGATCCAACATCGTAGATAAGAGGTATGATATCATTTGCAGCATAATAAAAGCATTCTGGTGCACAATATATTTGCTCACATTGTTAATACTGTCCCAAAAGTTTCCACTAAAGATAAAATAATAATTAAAAAAACATATTGGCAATACAAAGGTAATATAGTAATCATGCACTATCAAAAAACCATTCACCCTTCAAATTTGGCTGCACTTTACATAGAAAAATATACATTGTCTTAACAAAATACTTCAGAATCTCACAAAAATACTAGCTTTTTTTTTTTTTTTAATCATGAACCCCCACTAGTTATTTTAGCAATTTAAGTTCCCAGATGCCTCTGCAGGAGGGCAAGACTAACATAATATGAGTGAAGACAGCTTGAGGCAGTTTTCAAGAACATTTAAAACAATGGTTTGTGGTGAAAAAGCTTTGGTGATCCCTGACAATTAGGGTTTGTGTTTAGCTTTGCAACACCCATCATACTTCCCTTTTATATTCTACTTACATATGTTCTAACTGTTTCTGTCAACTGACACAAATGGTTTCTTAGGTCAGCAGTATTAAAACCCAATACATCCCACAACTTATATTTAATATGACACTGTTTTCCCCCATTTTTCCCTTAACACTGTCAGATACATCTCACAAGGACACCGTGTACCTTCTTTTGCTTTTGTAATCCATTATCCTGTCTGATTAAGGCTTTTTGCAGTTTTTAAAGTTGAAATAATATTTAGCACAATGTCTAAAATACTGAGCCTGGAATAAATAACCTTGAAGAGTTGAGGTGCCTGTTTGAAAAACAAAATCTGCATTGAAAACATCAGCATTAGAATCACTACATTAGCAAAGTTACAACATTGTAAGTGTGCAATTAGCCATTGGCTTTGAGAACCATTCTAGATTTTGTGCAAAATATGTAAATATTTCCTCGAATAGTCAAACCTAATTCAATTCGATTTCACATTCGCATTTTGTTTTTTAACTTTGGGATTTGGCAAATAGCAAAGGGTACCTTTTCATTCAGTTATGTTTGAATTATGTTTTTCATAGGAAAAAATCTGCATACTACATTGTTAATTAACATAATATATACAGGAGTATATTAAACACAAATATCATATACACAATGGCATGCTGGAAGTAAAATATAGCACACCAAATACATAAAGAAGTCTATGTGACAAAATGCTGGTCCACAAAGAGGGCAGGTAGGACAGCCATTACATGTTAAACACATGAGGCCTTGTGTTAAATACTTAAAACACTTCTTATGAACCAGCTTGTTGATTAATTGAGCATAGTTAGATTGGCAAAGCAGTACAATATGAAGTATTAATGCATTATGCATTAATCACAGCTAATGAATCCAGTTCTGTATTGTTTCTAAATATGCTTTCATAATGGCCAGACTGCACCTATGAGATGCAATACTTGTGTTTATAAAGGCAATACAACGCTTTATAATGAGGTTTTCTTAGTTACTAGAAAATGTACAAAATCTTCCTATAAAAGAAGATTGAAATGCATAATACCAATACTTACATGATCACATATGTAAAGCCTGAGAATATGTTTGGAACACTTTAAATCTTTCTTGGCTTTGTTACCGTGTTAAAAAATCACCCTTTGATCGTCAAGTTAGTTACTAATGTGTAACAGCTTTTGTTCTTTGACAGAGTTGCATAAACACTGCTGTGTAATGAAATCAGACAGGGACTGAAAAAAAAGAGAATTCCTCGCAGTCGGACCCAATGTGCATCACCCACATGACCCGCTGCCATGATCGATGCTTCCTGGTGAGAGGTGTTGAAGCACGGCCAACATAGCAGCAACATCGGGTCACTTTAAGTCACCTTGATTGCAGACTTCTTATGGACACAGAGAAAGTAAATGTAGGGCACGCCGATGAAAGCCCATTTCTCATTTGGCCAGAACATGATGACGGGTCCTCGCTCTGGGGCCTCAGTTGCAACGTCAAAGTAGGCGAAGCAAACACACCCCAAGTAGGACGCCAGGCAGATCAGGATGTGCCTGTAAGAGCAATGAGTCTGAATAAACAAACTGGCTGAAAAAAAAGCTCTGTAAATATATCCAGGTGTTTGTCTGTAATTTGGTCTTTAAAAACTAATTATTTTACAACAAAATGGACCCAGTCAATCAACTTTTTCTGATATTTTGCTGAAATAAGATTTCTCATTCCATTTTTCTTGTTTCTAGGACAGTAATCTTCCTTCTTTCGTGTTTCAAAACCCACATATTCATTTTTAGAAGACTCTTGAATCCAGTTGATTTCTATAGGAAATATTTACAGTTATTTTTCAACTTCTTGTATGTACACACTATGGTATATAGTAAACAATGTTTAGTTTTTTACCTATCTCTGTTCAGCTTTGTAGTTATGTATGTCTATATCTATCATTATGTAAATTGTTTAGTGTGTAAGTTAACTGAAACCCACAGGAACTGGACTATTTATTTTATGCGAAAACATAAATTGTCCATAACTTATAACCTTAACAACAGAAAACTACACTGACTCTAGTGTTGTTGTTGTTGAGCTTACCAAGCACAGTGTAGGTAGGGAAAGTTGACAGATGACCACATCTCACAGAAGATCCTGTCACTGATCCAGCAGAGCAGAGCCAGCGCCCACCAGATCCCTGATACCAGACCTAGCTTGAACACCCGGGGGTTCTCACACCTGCAGAGACACAACAGAGCACTGAGAAACATGTTCAACTGTGAAAGCAAACACAAATATACACAAACACAACATTCTTTTACTGGCTGTGTCGTCCACCCTGACTGGAGTGTTTCATATTCACCACTGAGATGTCCTCCATACCAAGATGTCAGGACGTTTACTTTTAGATAAGGGGATTATTTTCTCTTTCTTTTTGGAAGGCGACAGAACTGTGATCCAAGTACAAAGTACTCTGGCCTCTGCACAACTATCTATTTGGACTGTCCAATGACCTACAGAGACATGTGCTAATCCAGACTGCTGCTGATAAAAACTATTCTTAGTCATGTCCTCTTTAGACACATCAGTTTAAACCCTGAGACAGACACTAAGACAGACACAGAGACAAGTCAGACTCCATAGACTGTGTTGTTTATGTTGCAGCTGTTAGTCACTGTGACCCAGTTTGTCAACTTACCTTAATATGTGTACCGGATGAAGAAGTAGAATAAAAAAAGTCTTACATTTGAGTCATTGTTGTTTTGATAAGAAAGGAATGTTGAAAGCACAACAACGGACTTGTCTAAAGTGAAGTAGCAGCCATTATGTCTCTGAGACAACGGAG